CATGAATACAATCCAATGTATCCATGAATACAAGGAATGAAATATATCCAATGTATCCATTAATACAAGGAATGAAGTGTATCCAATGTATCCATTAATTAATTTTCCTTTGAACTTGAACCTATTCTGCATCATATTAGCTGAGCATTTTTAGCTTTAGCATATTCGTGTGTGTGATTGTTGCCGTACTTAGCATCTTACCATGAAGCAACGTGCTTATTTGAAATATCTCTTTAAATGCGTGTGGATGAAGGTTATTTTACTTGCATTAGGGATGATTTTGATCAAATGTTTGTGTGAGCTCTTTTTTTTTTTTTTTTCTTTTGAGTAGTGTGCACTCAAAACTCTTTTAAAAGAATCACATAAAATCAAGTCATTTCCAAAGTAAGCAAAACAGTTTATACTCGTGTGCCTCACATAGTAAGTTAGCATATTAATAATCAGAACAAGAGCATACAATGTTGATAAAATTCACATCATGATTAGTATAGGCCAATCTTTGATCGGGTGAGGGGGTACTCAATTCACGACCTTCCTCTCTCATACCTACGTTCTTGAACCGAGACAACTTTGGTTACAATGGACAAGTGGCCTTTGGCACAAGTCATGGGCTTCCTAAATTTTTCAAAAAATATTTAAGTGGCGACTCAGAAATTTGACAATGCAATCCATTTTTGGCATCCCTGATGATTAATAGATTTTCTAGGATTTGCTGGATTTGGACTCTCATTCATTTTTCTATTTCACATTGCATTTGTGAAACCAGATTCAGAATCACGAAAGTCTGAACTGTAGGGCTATCGCACCCAAGGAAACTAAACCCCTCAGAGAAGCGCGAAAAAACTAGTTACAATGACATTTTATTTTATTGACTTTTAATTTATTTTATTATTTTATGATTATTTTAACCCAACATATGATGCCAAATGAAGCCTTTGGATACATGGTTGAACACAGTACAAAGAATGTGATCACTATTGTTCATTGAGTCATGGCGCATCTTAATTATATGATTTTTATTTATTTATTTATATATTTTTCACAGGATATATAATGAGTTGAATCAAATTGAATTTTGCCCTTATTATTATTGGTGTGGTGTTGTAAACCATTCTATTTAAATTAGTGAAAAATAAATTAAATTACTTCTTGATTTCGACTTCGTAAGGCCCGCTTGGCATGAATTTTTTTTTTTATATAGTTATAGTAATTCTTGGGTCTTGAGTAATAAATGAGATATAAATTTAATTTTTGGGATTTATTTCGTTAGCCCATACTTAATCATTTTGGTTCATATTCTATTATGTAAATGGTGGAGACCACCTTAAGTCTTTTTAAAATTTATTTATACTTTAATTTCAGTTGGAGATTTATTTAAATTATTATATTCTATTCATTTTGGACCTAATTGATTGAATCATGACTCGTTTGTAACCATGTATTATTGTTGTTATTATTATTATTATTTATTTTATAATTCTAAAAGAGTTACAAATATTTATGGTGTGTACCATTAAATGAAATACATATTTTATGGTGAGAAATCAATTATATCATTTTATATTATATGTTACAAAATCTCTTATGGTATTATTATGATGTACCTTTGGTGATTTATATAAACACATATAGATAGATAGGCAGATATACAGACATACATATATTCTTTCTTTCTTTCTTTAAACATTCATCACACAAAATTTATGATCCACCAAAAATCTATCAGGTTTTAGACCCATGTTCTTGAGACCAAAGTGAAGACCTTGGTGAGAGCAACATTTTGACCGGTGGAGATCAAAATCCGACAAAGTCAAAAATTGGAGTTTTTGTTTGTTTCCTCTTCTAGCTTTTGAGGTAGGGATTTTCTAAACATTGTGTGTGTGTTTTAGCTTTATTATGTGTTATTTTGATATTGTGATATTTGAAAATATTGGGATTTTATTAATGGTGTATTAAATGTATAAAAAGGGGGTGGTTCTCAACTTTTTTTGAAAATCCATTGCTAGTTGTGCTTGGTTTTTTTTTTTTTTTTTGTATGACTCATGGATGTTGAGAAATGTATTTTATTCTATTTTATTTTATTTTTGAGAATTCCCCAAATTTTAATAAAACCTAGAAATTTAAATGTTAAGATTTAGATTTTTGGAATGAGTTTACAAGAGTTAAAAATATATGTTTATTTGAACAAATGAGAATTTGAAAATGGATGTTTATAGGGATGAGATTGATGAGAATGTTGTTGGGAATATTGAAAACTATTGAGGTTTCTTTTGAAAATTGTTAAATTTGAAAATATTGAACTTTTGAGAAAGATGAAAATATTATTATGTTGAGGTATTGAGAATTGTTGAAAGAAACATATGTTATTTTTGGCATTACAAAAATTATTGATAAATTCTTGAGTTTGGATAAAAAGTGAAGATTGGTGATTTTTTTTTTTTTTTTTTTTTTTTTTTTTTTTTTTTTGAATATTATGATTCTTGACTAAGTTGTGAAAGAGGAGATTGAAGATGTGATTATGTTGAAATGATTGAAAATATGAGATTATGAGTTAGATTTATCTCTTGAAGTTTATATTTTATATAGAGATGATTGTTTGGGCAACAGTGGAGGTTTGTATTGATTATTATAGAAGTTGCATGTGAAATAGGTAATTTGAAATATTTTCAAATTCATGCATGCATTGAACATTGCATAATCTGATGATTAAATTCTCGCATTGGATTTGAGAAATTGGTTTTGTTTCAAATTGATTCTTTGGGAATATTTGAAATGTGTTGAGTTATGGGGTAAATAAGTTTGGTAAGTCCGAATAGGGGCTGTAGTTTGATGTTGATTAAGTTGGCTTGAGTGTCCAGGGTGAAAAACCGAAAACACGCACGGTGGAGGTACCACTACCCTTTCGGTGAGAGACCGGTAAAGTGAGGATTTGGTAGTGCTCGATATGCCTACTTGCAGACATCAGCCTAGGGATTACCAGTGTCGTATTTACCGCCCTTTGTTCTATGAAATGGATAATTGAATTGGTTATGCTTTTAAACAAATACATGGCATGAGAATTTCGAAATGAGAAAACCTGTGATTTTTGGCATTGGCATCTCATATGCATTGCACCTCATGATATTGTTAAACTGCGTGCACTTTATTTAGATTATCTCTGCTGGGCTTTATGCTCATGCCTTAGTGGAAACCATTTTTCAGGTGATTGTGGTGTGCCTCCGCCAAAGTGAAGGCATGGAGGATCTTTTGGAGCACATGGCTCAACTATTTTTTTGTTTTGTTTTCTTGCAAGCCAAGGGCTATCTATGTGTGGGTTTGAAAACTATTTTGTTGTAACCTGGCAAAAGCCTTGGAACTTGTAGCCGTTAAGGCATAAATTTGTATTTTGTTGTTTTAATTTGTTATTATCACATGCTATAAACTCATATCTTAAGGATGATGAATGTATTAATGCAAGTGGTCTCTCTTTTGTGAAATCTCATTTTGGATATCGTTAATAGAAAATTGGTGATTTATTATGAATGTTGACTATTGAAATGTCTATATTATTCAATGTTCTTCTATGTAATAATGAAAAGTAATGAGATTTAGATTATGCTTATAAGTTAATCTAGATATATCAGATGTCAATATTTTTGGGGGCGTTACAGGATATATCTATAGAGATTAGTTGTTAATAAGAAAACACAAAGATATCACTATTGTGCATGTCTCCTTTTATTAAACCTCGTTATTTTTAGTGAGAAATAAAATATATATTATTATTTCTCACCATTTATTGGTCAGTTAACAATTCAAATAGCTACCACTTTGTTTAGTTAATAAATTTGGAGAGTAATTTAAAAAATAAAAAGAGAAGTGTAAATAAAATGTGAATAAATTATAATTATATACTTGTATTTTACACATATTTTTCTTTTTTCTTTTTTGTTTTATTTCTAAATCTCTTCACAAATTTATGAACCAAACACAACTAAAAAATATGTGAAATATGAATAAAATATAATTATATTTTACTTACAGTACACATACATTTTTCTTTACCTTCTCAAAATTTTTCCAAATTCGTAAACCAAATTTTTTTCAACATTTCTTTTTTTTTTTTTTCCTCACCAAATCAGTTTTTGGAATTTGTTACTAAACAAAGGCCTCGTTTGAGAACAAGTTATTTTAGTAATTTTTTAATTTTTTTATTAAAATATAAGGCAAAAAATTAATATATTTAAAATAGTTTTTTAATTTTTTACAAAAAAAAAGATATTTAAAAAGTTTTAAAAAAAATATTTAATTTTTTAATATAAATTATTAATTTTTTAATTTTCTTAATAATTTTTTAATTTTTAAGACTAAAACAGTGAGTTGTCACGGGAGGCCACAACGTAAGACCTTTTTAATTTCTTAGAGATGATTTGGGATGATCTAAATAAATATACTTTTTGACTTTTTATAAAATATGAGTTGGATATAGGTTGGGTTTAAAGTAATGTAATAAAGAGATGATGTGACTTAAATAAGATAATATGATTTAAATAAGATAGTAACTTTTTTATTTTTTTAAGTTATGACAAACAAAGTCTTAATATAAATTATTAATTTTTCAATTTTTTTAACAACTTTTACTTTTTGACTTTTTATAAAATATGAGTTGGATATAGGTTGGGTTTAAGTAATGTAATAAAGAGATGATGTGACTTAAATAAGATAATATGATTTAAATAAGATAGTAACTTTTTTATTTTTTTAAGTTATGACAAACAAAGTCTTAATATAAATTATTAATTTTTCAATTTTTTTAACAACTTTTTAATTTTTAAGACTAAAACAGTGAGTTGTCACAGAGGCCGCAGCGCAAGACCTTTTTACATCTCTTCATCATTCACTTTCATCTTCCACACCATGACAACAACCACGCCTCCAGCCATCATCTTCCTCACCACTCACCCCCTACAATCTCTCTTCAACACACACACACACACTCTATCTCTCTCTCTCTCTCTCTCTCTCTCTCTTCACCCCCCACCCAATCACTCTCTATATCTTCCTACACACAGATATCACTATTAACGCCAGAGCTAATAATGCTTGCAAGATTGGGCTAGGGTTTTGAGGTTACATGTGGTCCGATCACCAGCACTGGAGCCAACGTCCCCAAGCTTAGGTATAATTTTTCTCAATCTCCCTTTAATTGTCGAGAAATATCTTAAAAGGAGAAACAAAAAATGAAATTATTATTCTCCTGCTTAATCTTGTTTTCCATTCTTAGTGAGTGATGATAACAAGCTTGGCTATTGCTGTAATTTCATTGGAAATTTGGGTGTGAAGAACTACATAATGTTCCATTTCCATGATAAAATTAAAATCTTTTTTGATGAGGTAGAACAACAAACACCCTTTCGTATTCAACTAAGTTTCCTATCTCCAGTAGTTTCACGTGTCTTGAATATGGAGTTGGGTGTCTACCTAAAGTTGATTATAAACTAAACTGAACCAAACCAAACCAAACCTAGTCTTTAAGTCCCATCAAATGGGGTTGGCTGGCTAAAGTTGATTATGCCATGGACTTATTTATTTGTTACAAAATTGATTATGTTAGAGGCTTTTTTATTGGTTACATTTTGTGGGTTTGGTTTGGTTTGGTTTTCTTCGATGGATGTGGTTCAATGTTGTAGTGGTGGTGATGCTAGGGGAATGGGGACATAGGAAGGAGATGGTGGTGCCTAGGGAAGGGAGAATGAGATAGCACCTGGTAGTTGTTTGTTGTGATCATTGGTTGATTGGTAGTGGCTGTTTGGAAGGCAATGGAAGAGGGTTTCAGGGGTGATCATGTTCATGTGCATAGAGATGTGGTAGTCTATGGTGTTGGTGGCTAGTTGGTGTGTGGTAGATGTTTTAGGCTGGTTGGTGGGTGGTGGAGGAGATGTAGGATAGTGGTAGGAGTGGACGTGGATCGGCTGAGGCCACGAAACCTCCAATCCACCATCTGTCTGCCAGATTGATAGATTAGAGAAAATTAATCCGCATTCGTCTGCCAATCCGGCAGATGTGGATTGAGCGGATTGGCGGATTAGTGGATGGATGCGAATCGGTTTGACGGTTTAAGATTTTATAAATTTTTAACATAATTCAACTTGTGTACTTCCTAAAAATATATATATATATATATATATATTACAGTCAATGAGTTAAAAAAAGTATTACAATCACTGTATGTTTCATCCACATATTACAATTACAACATGTCTCATCCACATAAAGTATTACAATTTGTGATTCTTAAAATATAAAAACAATTTAAACCACCAAAACCATGAACAGAGCTGTAGTAGAGATTGTATGCCTCTATATTGTTACATCTATATCTGTTTTTCAAAACAAAAACCATTATTTTTAGAGTTAGATTTAAAAACAAAAAGATATAGATAAATAATACATTTTTTTTTTTCAATTCAAAAAATATATTCAAGTTGAAAACTCTTTTTCAATAGAATATATTCAACATAATATTTATACTCTTTTTTAATTGAAAACACAAATAGAATATCTAAACAAATTGAAAACACAAAGTCTTATAAATTACTAGAGATGCTCGCGGTTTGATGGTTCTATTGCTGCCAAAGAAACCTCAAATCCACCATCCGTCCAAAACTAGGCGGATTGAAAAAAATCAATCCGCAACCATCTGCTCGTCATCATACATCCGTCCAAAATGCGGTGGATCAATTCGGTTGGGTCGGTTTGGGCGGACCGGTATATCCGCTGCTCACCTCTAGATGGTGGTATGGTGTTGCATGGGGGGCTGTTGGGAAGTGGGTAGTTGTTGGCTAAGGAAGAAGGGGTGGTCGATGGCCAAGAAGAGTGAGGGGGTGGTTGGCCATGGAGGAGGTGTGCAGTCATTGGCTAAGAAGAGGATGGAATGGTTAACCATGAGGTGAGTGACTGCTAGACAAGGAGGAGAGGCTAGTCGACCATGAATGAGGAAGGGGTGGTTGTGGCTATGGAGAGAGGAAGAGTGGAAGGAATGATTTGATGTGGTGAAGTACATGGTTAGACAAGATGAACATTTTTTATTTGTTAAGATAAAGAGATTAAGCTGATAAAATGACCGTTATGCCCTTGCGAATTGGTCACTTACATGCATGGGACCATTTTTTGTCTAGAATTTGGTTGGCCATTATTAATTGTCCTTAATTGATACAACATGGAAAAAATTGGAGGACAAATTGAAATAATAGGAATCAAATTGAAACTCGGGTTACACTACATAGACTATTAGTGAAATTTACTCATGAAAAAAAAAATCATGTACTGAAAATTCAGTCAGAGAATGAAACTACCCCTGCAAAAATAAAAAATTAAAAAATGGAGAAAGAAGCTGAAAATTCAATGCCAACAAGAGAATGAAATCATTTACTACAAATTCAGTTAGAGAATGAAACGACTTCACCGAGAAAGCATCCCTTATTTCAATTGACTTCACCAATTCCCCACTTTTTGGCTTAATATCTTCTTTCTTCTTTTATGTATGCAATATACATGTATTCTTATTTATTTAGTTTGTTGTACTTATTTATTTATTTGTGCAAATGATGAAATAAATGTTTGATGATCTGCTTCTAAATATTATGTTCTGTATTCTCCACACGTGATTATGGAGATGGTTACTTTAGTAACAGGTTCATCATTTCAAATTGATTCAACAATTAATTAAAGTTTTGAATTGAAAGTGTTGGGATCTGGGATCCCGCCCAAGACCTTATAGAAATTATTCCATGCAGAAAAACACACCCACACTCAAGGAGACACAATATTTAACGTGGTTCGGCCTCAATGCCTACGTCCACGGGAGAATAGCCGGTTATCACTATAACAATGGAGATATTACAGAAAGATTACAATAGAGGAGGAGCTCACACTCTCCTCACTCACCCACTCACCCGTCTCCCTTGCTCACACCAAGGAAGACGGTCTCTTCGCCTCAGATATCTCACTCTCTGTGGCTTGCTCTGCTCTCTCTCACTGTTCTCCTCTCACCCATCTTCATTTATACACTTCTAAATGGTGGATGGAGGGGCTGGCCAGCACACCAGCTTGTGCCAACTCCTTCTTCACATGGCTAAAGGTTGGCTTCCTAACATGGCCAACTCATGTGTGTTGGCATCACCCCTCACATGGGGTGATGATATCCCACAGAAAGGACATCTGGGGATGGCTTTATTTGTTTTTGTTGTTGAGCAGGTATTCCATCCATGGTTATTGTTTCAAAAACTGCTGGTGATGTGGAGGACCTACGTGATAGTCTAAATGATCTCTCTAAATCAAAAGGGACTTTGTTATCCAAATTAATGCCAGGTATTATTATTTTTTAGATAAGCAATAAATTTTATAGAGAAAAGAAACATGATAGTACACAGAAACATGTTAGGTTTTATATTATTTTCCTTTATTTTTTTCTGTGTACAGACATTTGTATAAGACAAGGACAGGTGTAATATTTTCACTAAATATAGTTTACGCAACCCAAAAATAAAAAAAGAAAAAAGGAATTTTGACCAGTGTGGTGGGTTTGATCCTGGCAAGATAAGTATGCAGTTAATTATGCTGAATGGGAATGTCTTTACTTTATTGATAAAAAAAATAATGGCCCAACATTTCTTTTCATCTTATTAATTATTCTGCAATGGTATTTTGTTATAGGATCAGAGGGTCGCTGCTCTTACCCTTCAATTATGAGCTATTCGTAGTTTTGGAATGCAGTTAAATCTGAAATTTCGTGTGCTTCCTGTGACAACAATTCACAGATTCTTGCTACATGTTAAATAAAAAGCGAAAGTGTTGTGGATAATTGAACGAAACGCATGATATCATACTACATAATAAAAATGCCTATGATCCTAACATGAACCATTGCCGATTTTACTTTCTGTTGTTTGTCATCAGTCCTCACTAGAAATTAAAGAAAAATTCACGAGACAATTGATGGTTTGCCTAGCTTATCATTGTATATATCAAGTAATTATTATTATTTAATGCTTCTCTGTTGTCTTCTTGTTGTCTCATGAAGCTTGTGCTTGGATTAAACCAATTGATGATGCAAAGCAAAAGCATGTGTTTGCAAGAGAGCTAGCAAAAAGGCTGATAGGAAAAGAAAATGATTGGATTGATTACATAAATTGTGAAAATTTACATGTTTCTATAGTGCACTGCTTTGGAGATGCCACTTCATCATAGAAGCACAAGAAGAATAGACTCTTATCCTTGTGACAAAGCACGGCATCAATGACATGGTAGAGGAAATCCTTGAAAAATTCCCTAATGTTGCGTCATTTGATGAGAATGGAAGAAATATACTACACATAGTGGCACAGCTGAAAGATAGAATTATCTATGACCACTTGAAGAAGACTGTTAATTACGCAGATAGAATTATGGCCGATGTTGATAATCATGGGAACACTATTTTGCATCTTGCAGCCTACAAGTACAAAAAAGATCATTTTCCTCGAAATCTTTTCGGACCTGTAAACCAAATGTCATGGGATGTGTTTTGGTTTAAGGTACTCTCCCTAGGCTCTATATATTAACTTGCAATACGAGTAGTAGAGAGCTAAGGATCCTCTACCATAATTTTTCTACAATGATTTTGTGCTTTTAATTATAGCAAAATACATTATAACAGCTTGAGTTTAAAATTAAAGTAAACTGACATTATATCACATTTTTTTAAAACCACACCCTAAAATGATGCAATTTAGATCAATTTTAAACATAAACCGTTAGATCAACACAACATGATTATTGCAGAGAGATTTATGACACAAGATCTTGATCCAATAGTAGATATATTGGATAATAATATAATAATAATAGTAGTGGTGGTGTGATAACATAAATGGTTAATTATACTGTGACTCTCAATTATTAGTGAATATCACTTTACCTCTCATCTATGAACTTGTATATTTTGATCCTTTCAAATATAAAAGTGCATCTCACTTTTATGCCCTCCAAAAAGGGAGACATTTGTATGATTTGTTATAATTGAGAAGATAAAAATATATAGTTTCATAGATAAGAGATCAAAATAATATTTGTTAATAGTTGAGAATGTTTTGCTATAATTAACCTTGACATAAGTTGCAATCTAAAGCATAAAGGTTAGAAACTCTTCAATTCCTTTTTAATATTGTCTTCTTGCTCTATTTTCTTTGAATTTTCAGTGTATACAAAATGACTCTCATCCACATTTGATATATCATCGAAACATTTGTGGTAAGACAACAAAAGTGGTATTTGAGGAAGAGCACAAGGATGAAGAAAGCTAAGAAAGCAATCACAGATATTAATAGTAGCTTGATGCTTGTTTTCACTATAGTTGGCACCATCTATTACGTTGCACTTTTTACTATCCCTGGTGGTTTCGATCAATAATATGGCCTACCAATATTTTTCACAAAAGCAATAAATGGACAACGAGATTTGCAGTTGTTCATGTCTTACGTTGAAAGAAGTCTAGTTGCCTCTTTATTGGGTTTGGGATCTCAACTTTTAATATAATTGTCACGGTTCAATAGCAAGGATTTTCACACTTTGTTGCCCTTGAAATTTCTTATCGCAACCACATCCTTGTCCTATGCCACTGGCTTCTCAGTCACGATGTGTTTTCAAACTTTTATTATCAAGGATGCATTCATAAATTCATATTTCAGGGTGATGTGGCTTGCCTATATTCTTATGACCCTTGTTTACACAGATGCATTATACTTTACCTACGATTACTTGTACTACATAATTTGCTATTCACTTGCTTACAGAAGCCAAAAAATGTGGAGTCTGCACTTGTTTGGTACTTGTTTTAAGCCATGTTTGAATTTGTGTGTGACAACATTATAAGTTGTTCAATCTCTAGCTTTTCGGTTTTTCAAGTTTCAAGTGTCTTTGCCATGTTTGACGTGTAATGATTTTGACGAATGATGAACTAGATGATTTCGTGTTGATCATTGAAGATACAGTTACAATTGCTTACCCATGGTTCATATTAATTACAAGAACATATCACCACCCTTGTTTTTTAGTTGAAGAAGGCATTCATATGCTTCATATTTCTCTCGATTTATATTTGCCAGTTTCCTCCGCAGAGAACTAATACCACTTTCTATAACCTTTAATTCTCACTTGTGTTGTTGAATGTTTGTGTTATGTTTCTGATCTTCCTTCCATAGTCTTTTCAATTCATTGTGTATAAGCTACAATAAGAGCATAAAAAAAATAATAATAAATAAAAAAAAAAGTACATGTGAGGAATTTTTCACAAAAGTAATACTACAAATTCACCCTTACCAACTCAAAAATGGATCTTCGCCACACTTCACATGGACCCTACATGAATTTTATACTACACAAATTAATCTTTACTACACAAAATTGATTATGTTAGAGGCTTTTTTTATTGGTTACATCTTGTGGGTTTGGTTTGGTCTTGTTTGATGGCTGTGGTTCAATGTTGTAGTGGTGGTGATGATAGGGGAATAGGGACATGGAAAGGAGGTGATGGTGGTTAGGGAAGGGGGAATGAGATAGCGGCTGGTAGTTGTTTGTTGTGATCGTTGGTTGATTGGTAGTGGTGGCTTAGATGGCAATGGAAAGGGGGTTTCGGCGGTGATCATGTGCGTAGAGATGTGGTAGTCTATGGTGTTGGTGGCTAGTTGGTGGGTGGCAGATGTTTTAGGCTGGTTGGTGGGTGGTGGAAGAGAGGTAGGATGGTGGTATGGTGTTGGGAGGAAGGGGTGGTTGATGGCCAAGAATGAGGGGGTGGTCGGCCATGGAGGAGGTGTGTGGTCATTGGCCAAGAAAAGGGTGGGATGGTCGACTATGGAGAAGGTGGGTGGTTTCTGGCCAAGGAGGAGAATCTAGTCGGTCATGGAGGAGGAAGGGGTGGTTGTGGCTGTGGGGAGAGGAGAGAAGAGGAGAGAGTGGGAGAAAGGAATGATTTGGTGTGGTGAAGTACATGGTTAGATAAGATGAACATTTTTTATTTGTTAAGATAAAGAGATTAAGATGAAATTGCTGTTATGCCCTTGCAAATTGATCACTTACATGCATGGGATCATTTTCGTCCAGAATTTGATTGGCCGTCATTAATTTGTCCTTAATTAATACAAGATGGAAAAGATTGGAGGACAAATTGAAATAATATGGATCAAATTGAAACTTGGGTTACACTACATAGACTATTAGTGAAATTTACACATGAAAAAAAAATAAATAAATAAATAAATCATGTACTAAAAATTCAGTCAGAGAATGAAGCTACCCCTGCAAACATAAAAAATAAAAATAAAAATAAAAATGGAGCAAGAAACAGAAAATTCAATACCAACAAGAGAATGAAATCATCTACTGCAAATTCAGTTAGAGAATGAAATGACTTCACCCCACCCAGAAAGCATCCCTTATTTCAATTAACTCCACCAATTCCCCACTTTTTGGCTTAATATCTTCTTTCTTCTTTTTTGTATACAATATACATGTATTCTTATTTATTTATTTTGTTGTACTTATTTATTTATTTGTGCAAATGATGAAAAAAATGTTTGACGATCTGCTTATGTTCTGTAGTCTCCACACTATGATTATGGAGAGATGGTTACTTTAGTAACAGGTTCATCATTTCAAATTGATTCAACAATTTTAATTAAAGTTTTGAATTGAAAGGACACCTGGGGATGGCTTTATTTGTTTTTGTTGTTGAGCAGGTATTCCATCCATGGTTATTGTTTCAAAAACTGCTAGTGACATGGAGGACCTGCGTGATAGTTTAAATGATCTCTCTAAATCAAAAGGGACTTTGTTATCCAAATTAATGCCAGGTATTATTATTTTTTAGATAAGCAATAAATTTTATAGAGAAAAGAAACATGATGGTACATAGAAACATGTCAGGTTTTATATTATTTTCCTTGATTTTTTTCTATGAATAGACATTTGTATAAGACAACGGCAGGTGTAATATTTTCACTAAATGTAGTTTACCCTATCCAAAAATAAATAATAAAAAACAAAAAAGGAATTTTGACTAGTGTGGTGTGTTTGATCCTGGCAAGATAAGTATGCAGGTAATTGTGCTGAATGGGAATGTCTTTACTTTATTGATAAAAAAAAAATGGCCCAACTTTTCCTTTCATCTTATTAATTATTCTGCAATGGTATTTTGTTACAGGATACAGAAGGATCATCAGAGGTTCGCTACTCTTACTCTTTAATTATGTGCTATTCATAGTTTTGGAATACAGTTAAATCTAAAATTTTGGGTGCTTCCTGTGACAACAATTCACAGATTCTTGCTACATGTTAAATAAAAAGTGAAAGTGTTGTGGATAATTGAACAAAACACATGATATCATACAACATAATAAATCCAGCTCTATCGTGCCTAGGCCGTCATGTGTGCCAAGTTTCGTGCCAAACCGACGCCGTTTGGTGATTTTGGGGCGTTAACACCTCGAGTTCAAGTTTCTTATGGAACTAGTTTGCCTAAAGTGAAATCCGGTTCTAACTCCCAAACCGGGAACCCGATTCCAACCCCGTCTTCACCCACAAGTCTCTCGTGCCTAGGCGGTCGTATGTGCCAAGTTTCATGCCAAACCGACGCCGTTTGGTGATTTTGGGGCATTAACACCTTGAGTTCAAGTTTCTTAAGGAACTAGTTTGCCTAAAGTGAAATCCAGCTCTAACTCCCAAACCGGGAACCCAATTCGAGCCCCGTCTTCTCCCACAAATCTCTCGTGCCTAGACGGTCGTGTGTGCCAAGTTTTGTTCTAAACCGACACCGTTTGGTGATTTTGGGGCGTTAACACCTCGAGTTCAAGTTTCTTAAGGAACTAGTTTGCCTAAAGTGAAATCCGGCTCTAACTTCCAAATCGGGAATCCGATTCGAGCCCCGTCTTCTCCCAGAAGTCTCTCGTGCCTAGGCGGTCGTATGTGCCAAGTTTCATGCCAAACCGACGCCGTTTGGTGATTTTGGGGCATTAACACCTTGAGTTCAAGTTTCTTAAGGAACTAGTTTGCCTAAAGTGAAATCCGGCTCTAACTTCCAAATCGGGAATCCGATTCGAGCCCCGTCTTCTCCCAGAAGTCTCTCGTGCCTAGGCGGTCGTGTGTGCCAAGTTTCGTGCCAAACCGACGCCGTTTGGTGATTTTGGGGCGTTAACACCTCGAGTTCAAGTTTCTTAAGAGATGGAAAAGATTGGAGGACAAATTGAAATAATATGGATCAAATTGAAACTTGGGTTACACTACATAGACTATTAGTGAAATTTACACATGAAAAAAAAATAAATAAATAAATAAATCATGTACTAAAAATTCAGTCAGAGAATGAAGCTACCCCTGCAAACATAAAAAATAAAAATAAAAATGGAGCAAGAAACAGAAAATTCAATACCAACAAGAGAATGAAATCATCTACTGCAAATTCAGTTAGAGAATGAAATGACTTCACCCCACCCAGAAAGCATCCCTTATTTCAATTAACTCCACCAATTCCCCACTTTTTGGCTTAATATCTTCTTTCTTCTTTTTTGTATACAATATACATGTATTCTTATTTATTTATTTTGTTGTACTTATTTATTTATTTGTGCAAATGATG